AAAACAATTGGATACTATTGATTCTACTCATTTATAATTACAAAAATATATAGAAACATATAGGCATAGATTTGTATTTTCTAAAGGTATTTCTAAATGTTTGAGAATATTAATTCTTAATTTTTTCCACACATAATTTTTTAATAGTATTCCAGAATCCAGTTTTATTTCTTGCAAAATGACTTATTTGGCAAAATTTTGTTTTATGTAGACCTGATAAATAGACAAAAAAGGTGGTTTTATTAAAAAAAAAAACAAAGATCAAACAAGATTTTTTAGAAAGTAAAATAAATATATTCTGAGAAAAATTTGTTTGCTAAATTGTTGAAATGTTTTTGTTTGGAACATTTTTAAGTATTTCTATTTTCGACGATTATTTCAACTGTTTTCAACATTGTCTACATACTCATATTATTGTAAACATACAACATTTTAAGCAAAGTGTTAGTTTTCTCAAACTTGAAAAATTATAATTTCTAATTACATCCATATTGCAGTCTATGTAAAAAGTGATAAGATATAGAAAGCTTGGAAAAAATATATGAGAACAGTAATTTGTACGCACTCAATTATTCTTGTATTTCAAAAATGAGAATTTTTCTTTGGTGTTTTCAATATTTAGCGAAACTATAATTTTCAGTTAGAAATATTTTTTTTGAAGAATGTAAAAGTTTTGAAATTAGACACGTGGATTGTCAATTTAGACGAACGATGAAATTTCATATATGCATAGATGGGCGTATATACATATACATAAATAAAATCAATAATCACATTTTTCTTATTGTTGAAAAAATAGCAAAAATGTTGACTTTAGATAGAAATAACTTTACAATTAAAACTTTTATTAAAAGATGAATGCAAACAGTTTACGAAAGCAAGTCAATATAACTTGACATATTTTTTATTGCATCGGTTAAGTAAAATGCCAATAGTTATTACTGTTTCCATTTATTATACAATAACATTGTTATTTGATGAGTTACGTTTGACAGATGAATTCAATATAAATAATGTAATATTAAAAACAATAGTTTAAGTATATACACATATGCATCTATATATATAGATCTATATTATTGTCATCTTCATAATTATTATCATTATCACCACCTTCTATACCATCAGAATCATCATTATCATTATATCATGAATGCTGCTACACCATCATCAGGAAAGTAGGTCATCTGAAAGAACAATGTATTTCCTGTGAAATTCAAAGTGATGTAGGTTTGAATTACAATATTGTGTTTAATAAAACAATGAGTAGGTATATATTTGTATCTTAATGTATACATCAACTATTATACATATAGTACGGATTCAAATAATTTAATTTTTTATTTTTTCTTGCAGTTTAAATTTCAAGCAATGCAATATTTCACATTTTCCAGTTTCAGCCTTGTAATTTCTTTGTGTATACATTTGTATATCGGTACAAAATGTGTGTAATAATGTATAGTATACACGCAGTTGTTAAAATAGAACCAATGTAAAAAAAAATATCAATGAAATTGCGTCACTTCTTCTTGTTCTAGTGACTTTTTTTTATTGTCGTTCTTGTACTTTGCGGTTTTTAGTTTTTTTACATTTGATGAACTCCTTATACTTACAAGGAGTATGTTTTAGGCAGCGGATTTTTTTTTAACATGTATTTTATATTTTATTGTGATTGTATCGGAAACGACCTTCGAATGTGGTATATGTGATATTGTTTAGGCATAAAAGTAAAATAGTTTGTATTATTGTATCCTTAATTTGCAGCAATTAAAAGCTGTGAGTACCAGTGGTTTTCCTCTTTCAACTAAGAAATTTTTAATTAGAATTTTTTATTTTATTTGCGGGTTTCATTCAACACTTGACGGAATTTTTAAATTTTGAATAGGTCATGGAAAATGCTTTAGAATTTAGAAGATATAACGTCATGTTTGAATTTCTAAAATCAATAGTGAAATGAGGTGCGTATTCAGTTTCTGTAAAATTTTTTCCTTGATTTTAACATGTGTAACATAAATATTAGCTTTAGAACCAACTGTAACATACAAGAATCAACATTATTTTAAAAGGGCAATATTTTTGAAATACTTTTAACACAAAAGTTTCTCTTAATAGATTTATTTTTATAGAGATTCTTCACGTTTTGAAATCATAAGATTATTAAATAATGCCAAAAAAAAGGAATAAATGCCAAAAATTATTCTTAAAAAGAACAAAAACCTTTTTACCGATAGCATTGCATACAATAAGAGGTTGTGTGATTACACCAATTTCGCATACTGGGTTTTCAGTGTAAACAAACTTCTTTATTGTAGAGAAGCTTCAATAAACTATTTATAGCAAGATGCCGACCTGTCGGTCTTCTGGTCTTGATTTGTACGCGTGTATCTCAAGTTCGTCTGGATCGAAATTTGATCATTTTGAAAAAAATATTTAACAGTTTACCTTGAAATTTTATGTGCGATAAATCCCTTAACTTTTGGAAGAAATCAGTTGTCGTCACCTAGACTATTATACATTAATGAGTATACGTTTTTGCACATATAAATAGAAATAATCAACCAATTTAATATTATCAGTTCAGGGTGTTAAAACAATGAACTTATTACCATATTTTAGGAACTTTTTTTACTATATCTTAGGAACTAATTGAGCGAATATGTTGAAAGTTAATATGCGACTTCAGTTTGTTACTGAAAGTTACTGACGAAGTTTTCAGAGAATTCGGATGGCATAAATTGAAACTATACTAAGAGTCACATTTTTCTAGGTACGTTGACTTAAGAACTTAAAAAGCTTGAAATAAGTAAAAGTCATTTTCATAATTTTATACAAAATGTTTGCTAAAAGAGACAATACACCTTGCGGTGGGTCGCATATGCTGACACATCAGATTTTTTATTTTTTTATACCTCGCTTCAAATGTTGTAAAATATTAAGAAATTCACAAAGAAGTTAATAATTTCATGAAAAATCGAAAGTTTTAATTGCTTTGTGAACTGGAAAAAAAAATTTTTATGTATGTGTTTCATGAAACTTTTTCATTCGCATACTCAGGTTTTATTTATTTTTATAGAAAGAGCTATATTAAAATAATAAAATAAACGAAGATTTTTTCTGTCAAAAGGGTTGAAATTGATAAATTCGAGTTTTTTAATAAAAGTTTTAAAGCAATATTGAAAAAATGTCAAAAGGTAAAAAGAAATTTTAATACTATTGAAATGGAATATGGCTAAAGTGAATTATATGGCAAAAGTGAAAATTATATACATACTTTTTCGACAAAAAAATTTCAACGTGAAATGTAAATTAAACTGCAGTAAGTTTTTATTTTATTAAAATTAAAATCAATTAAACCGAAATAAATACTCGTATGTACATAAAGATGTTGACGAACGTGTGTGAATTTCATTTAGCTTAGTTAAAATTCATTTAAGTCTTTTGAATGAATTATTTTTTGATAGAAGAGGTCAGTTAACTAACATTCCATATACATATGTAGGTTCAATAGGAACTACTAGTGTCATATTAATTTGGATTAAATTTTTTTCACCAAACTAAATTGGATTTTTTACAAAATCAATATAGATCGTGGAAGTTTTAGACGAAATCTTGCAAAAATATATTAAGACACCATTCTCAAAAAGGTTGAAACTAAAAACAAATACACAAGAAAAAGAATTTATTTATGCGATTTTGAATTATAAAATATTGGCTTTGCTTTTATGTAAAAACATACCAATTTTAGATTTTTTTTGTGAATTTTTAATAAATTTTAACTTATACTTCAATGAACATGAACCAAAAATATAAAAGTGAAAATCATCTTAAACGTTGAAGAATATTATGCAAATAATAATGCATACAATGAGTATATGAATTAACATACAGGAACTAACAAATAATAATATCTATGTTCTTTTTATTTATATAAAAAATTCCGTGTTAGCTGATCTGAATATTGAATGCCGTCATGTCGCCTCTACAAATTATTTTTTACACCATTACTAGAAAATTTTCTAATTTAAATGCAAAATAATAAAGAAACATATTTGAAAAATATGGTAGTATTAAAAGCGAAAATATAGGAGGAGTAAAGCACATGAATAACTCTCTGAGTTTCAAACAAAACATTTTTAAAACAGAACAGAAAAAAATTAAAGGAGAAAAGTAAAAACATAGTGAAATATTTTAAATGCAATTTTGTCGGATTTTTTTTTTCGTTTCCTTGAAATTTTTCAGAAAAAAAAAAAAAGAAAACAAAGCAAAAAATCCTATCTGTAAAGATCACTGCATCACGACATTGCAAGACATTTTCAATTTTTTTATTCTATTATAGTTCTTTTTTTGCATTTTGAAAATTTAAGCTTGTTGAATTTCCTTTGTTTTACAATTATCTCGTATTTACATGCATTTTATTATAAGTTTTTTCTTGTCCTTTTGGAAAAAACTTGTTTAAGTTTTCTTTTTCCCTTGTAAATGGTGACATCTGATTGATGGTAAAATTTTTAATTTAAGTATGTGTTTTGAATATTATAATCAATTTCTATTCTTCAACATTGATTTCTGATAATAGTTACATAATTATGATGTAACTAAATAATTATAAATAATGAAAAAAGTATTTCAACAACACTTAGATCCTGAAATCTTTCATAAATTAATTGATTTTATAAATTATAATTTGTTTATTTAAACTGTTGGATATTTGCAGATTTTTAAAGAAATAAAATAATATTGTTGTAAAGTTGAATATTTACATAGTTTGGCTGTTTATTCTATTTGACAAAGTTTATGTATTTTTTTCGAATAAATTGCAAAGCAAACCGAATCACCTGCACAAATTTATTCCCTATACATTATTGAACTGTTGTAATGTAAACTGATCTGTATGAACTTTTTACACCAGTATTTTTTTTGTTTTAATTATAAATCTTTTTTGTGTTAAGAATTTTCGAAAAAAATTTAAATTCTTTACTTTCTTTTATTTGATTTTTTTATAGAGAGGACTAGTACTGATGCTGAAATTTTAGAAGCTATGACAATTTCATCATCAACTTCAATAACAAATTCAGAATTTTCATCATCTTTACAATCTTTAACGTTACCAACATCACCTTTACCAACAAAATCAGTTACAAACTCCGATTCAATCCCAATAGATGATGAACTTAATAAAATATCAACGGAAAATATCAACGAAACCAGATTAGATGCAATTAGTATCGGTATTAATAATAGTGGTGGTGATAGTAGTGTAGCAATTGGAGTTGGAAATGTATCAAAAAGAGGAGGAAATTTTCATAATAGCAGTACTAATTTCAATGGTGGTGGCAATAATATGAATAATTTTACAAATAAAAAATATAATGTTAGTAATAATAGAGGAGGTATGAGAATGACATTAAATTTAATAACACCACCAATTTATGATCCACCTACACCGCCAGCAGATGTTATTTTACCTCACTCATCATCATCATTTACAAGACATTCATCTTATCCAACAGTAGTAACATTATCATCAATATCATCATTATCATCTTTAACATCATCATCGTTATTATCAACATCAAAAGTGAAGTCACTGAAACAAAATAAATCTGCAATAGATATGAATGTGACAGTTCAACTTGGAAACAATGCGTATTTGCCATGCAATGTAAGTATACAAGTCTAAAATGTCCTTGATGTACAATTTTCATTAATGTGTGTTTTTTTTTTGTATTTTTTAATTTATTATTGCTGTTTTTTTTTATGATCCATTTTATAGCGAAAAAAATTACTTGAATTATTTTCATTATTGTTGTCTTTTGTTAAATTTTAATATAGGAAAAATTTTTGAAAAAGAAAATTATCTTCGCTTTCGAATTAAAATTTACCGGGAATTCTTCTGATGAAATAAAAATGAAATGTTGTGAATAGGGAATCTTAAGTTGTTGTATTAAAAATATCATGATTTCATTATTTTCTGGGAATTATACTTATGAAAATTTGAAATAGAGCAATTGATAAAAATGGATATTAGTGTCGTTGGCTAAATTTCCACAAAAAAACTAATTTTTTTTATAAATGCCTATCTTAAGAGATAGGTTTTTCCTTTACAATATGATATAAAATGCAAACATATTAAATAGTTTTTGAGTATAAAATAACTTTAATTAATATTCCACTGAAAATTAATTTTAAAATTAATTAAATAAAAAAGGGGAAAAATGCAGAATATTTAAAGTTTGTTTAGTACATCAATATATAATTTTAACATTTTGTGGTCTGTAGTGGAAAAAACGTCTCAAATAAATTTTTTTGGTATACACTTGCATTTGAGTTTTTTATAGCTTCTAAGGAATGAAAAATTCGAATGATCTTAAAATTGGTTTCATTTTACTCTATCGTTAATGGAAAATTTAACACCATACTTTGTAACTTCTTGGTTGCAAGGAATTTTTGCTTTCAAAGTAATTTTGTCTGTCTCTTGAAAAAGATATTCATCAATTGCTTTTAATTTATATATAGGAATGTACCTTACAAAGGAAATCTAAATAATGATTGATATCAAAATATAAAAATATTTTTTTGTTTAGTTAAAAAAGGACTTCAATCAATTTGAATTATCGCTTTAAGAATATCTTTTGATTATTTCAGCAATGTATTTTTTCATTCCTTTAAAGATACTAAAATTCTAAATGAAGATGATTTTCTGCGCAAACATGGAACTCATGTAAATGATAAAAAAAAATAAAAAATTAAGTTGGGTTACACCAACGGTTTATAAACTTACACTTTTTCTTCGACAAGTGAAAATAGTGCTTTATAAAGCAATCAACTACATTATTAAAACTATTTTCATTCATATATCAAATTATTTTAAAGATTGCATACATTTAGAGTGCGATACATTTAGGACTTCATATACATTTACAACAATGCTCGAATTCAAGGGTAAATTGCGTGAGTTAAGAAAAACACATCTATATATTCGTTGATGGCTTTCTGAATTTATGGAAATTTTGAAAAGCTTCGAGTTTTGGAAACACAAGGCGCCAAAGATTCAAATTTTCCAAATTATTTCTTCTTTTGAGGTGGGAAAAGTAAATTACTTCTTCTAACGAAATAATGTATTTGTTAGTATTTAAACTTTTGCCGTCTAGATTTAAAACGATATCAAAAATTTGACAAAAGCGGTTTTTTTAAAGATCAGCTACCCTATCCCGCGGTAAAAGAAACCCACCACTACTTTTCTGCGTTTGCGGAATTTGAAACATTTTTCATGCCTTTAAAAGGCTATAACTAATAGTGGGGGCAGATTTTCTTTAATAGAAATAAGGTATTAGTAAAGATCTATTTATATGTAAAATTTCAGCTGTCTATCTTAAAGGATGTAGAAGTTTTGTAAATGGTACGGTCGGATTGACTGAGTGAATTTAATAAGCACTTTTTTCAAATTAAATTTTTTGAAAAGTGCTAATAAAAATCTGAAAAGGGGAAAATCGAAAAAAAATATCGAACAAGAATTAAGTAATTTTTTGTTATCCTCTCAAACTAAATACATGTTTGTATGTTTTATAATAATGTAAAACAAATTTGATAAATTCTTATTTTGTTTTTTTTGACGAAAAACTATGTATATATAAATAAATTGAGCACTTGGAAACTTTTAAAATGATTTGCACCAAAACAATAGCGAAAATGATAAATGAAAATGAAAAATTTTGGGTGACACAATAACTGAGTGTAAGATTTAAGGTAATTGATTACTGCTTATTTAGGAATTTTCAAGTCACTTCAATCGCTTCTTTAAGTTACTTCAAATTATTTCGGCAGGAATGTTATGAGAATGCACTATTAAAATTAGAAGTTAAAGTTTATGTTCATTGATAGGTATTAGTCACATTAGTTGCAAAAAAGCTCCTTAAAAAAAAATTTATACAAAGCTTTGTACTTCCAGGCTGCTGAATCCATAAATATTTACATATGTGTGTAGATAAAATTATATATTAATAAATATATTTGTGGTAAGTGTTAAGTCATAGCTTCTATTTAGTATAATTTTTGGTTTTACAAAACATTGTACAAATAAGTTATACGTACTTAACTTAATTTTCAATCCTAAGAACAATTCATTATATGTATGTAGATCTAGATATTTTTCAAATTTAAAATGAAGCACTTTGTATATTTGATTTTATATTATTTAAAATATTTTATTTATTTGGGTTTTGTGACGATAAGACAGTGTTATTTTAATGTAGAATTTTCTTTTTTCTTTCTATTTTCCAGTTCTCTTCTTGCTCTCTTTATTCCTGTTAGAATATTCTTAAATCTATAGTTAAAAAGAAGATAATAATATTCACTATAGACAGATCCATTACTTTAATTTTGTGCCTGTCACTTCCAATGATATCCTTTAGGTTATTTTCTTTTTGCATATATACATACACTGAAGGGTTTCAAGGAATCTCCACAACGTTTGTTATTTTAATTTTTTGTAACGTGTTGTTTGTTCTTTTTTTATTTTTCTGTACTATGATATTGTTTTTTTTTGAAAAAGTATTATGTATATAGGATAAGAGCAGAAACAATTTTTTATTTTTGTTATTCTTATAACAATTTTAATAATCAATAGACTTTGTGGCTCCAGTAATAAAAATAGAAACAATTTTTCGATTTTTTTTTTTCATTCCTTTTGGATAAGCGTAATATTTCAACATTTGTGATAAATATTCCTCCCATGCTTTTCAACTTTTCTATGTTTTTGTTTTTTTTTTTGCCTCTTCGGAATCATTGTAAGTATCTGATTTTGTGGAACCTCTAATGTATGTGGTTTTCTGTTGTCGATATTAAAATTATTAAAGGGATTTTATTGATAGACTTTAGTTTTAAGTAAAAATATTTTTGCAGGCCCGGTTCTGATTTGTTTGGCGTTCCACGCGATTTCGATCCCAGCCCTCCCCTCCCTCCTTTTAAAGCAATAAACAATATGCAATTGCGCATTAATCGCTTGTAATTTTACCATGTTGAATGCAGGATTAGTCTTAAAATTAAAGCCTGGAAGTAATTTTTCAACTTTTTGTTTCACAATGCTTGCATGTCATTAAATTAATTTCGTTGTTAATAGCAAAAAAAATTTTTTTTGGAAAACACGTAAACGAAAAAATTGGAAATTCTTATTTTTTAAAATTAAATTTTTTTTAAGTTTTCAATGGCGCTGCTGTTTTCCGGCGCCCATATTAAATATTTTCTTTGCGTATAAGGTAGATCCGGCGCTGTATGTATGTATGTATGTATATATGCATATTCAATATTGATTTAAATATCATAATAAGAAAAAAACTAAACTTTAATTTGAGAAATGTATAAAATAACAAACTGTGATTTCAAAGATTCTTTTTTTATTTTGTAGTTTTGTGTAATGTTGTTTTGCTTTATTTTCTTTAGTATGCTTTAGTATAACTCACAGACTAACCAACTACATATTTACGTACATATATGGCTGGATTGGTAGATCGGAACTTGTGTTATTTTTGAGACTGTAAAATTTTTTTTTTCTGGTTTTCTTTACTTTTTTTTCCATAATGGAAAAAGTTTTCCAAAAGATATTTTCATTTTCATTCTACTATTGTTATTAGTGTTACAAAAATTCCTTGCATATTAGACCCGTTCATTAAATGAAAAAAGATTAAAACAAAAAATTAGTTTTATTGTTTGAAGAATCGGTTGATCATTAAGTTTTTCCGAGTTTTTTTTTTGTTTTATGTAACGTTGTAAGTTTTTCAGTTTTTCTTTTTTCAAAGTTTTATTTTAAAAATTTGTTATAGTTATATGAGTAATGAAATATGACTAAGTGATATGTTTTAATTAATAAAGGGGTTTTAATAAAAGGTCAAAGATGGATGGAATGTATGGCAAATGTAGTAGTTTGTACAATAAAATTAATAAATTAAAAATTAGTTGACAAAAATAATTACGAATTAATTTTTTTTTGTTGCAACATAATATTCATATTGCTCGACGCAATTCTATTCAAATGCAACTACATATATCATAACATAATATGCATTGTATGTCTGTAAACAAATACAAATGTACATACACAGTCAAACCCATATAACAATAACTCTCGTTAGATGAAATTCTCCTAAATGTAATTCTTGCACTTATATCAGACAAAGGTTTAGTGTAAGCATTTAGTAAAATCAAATAGAAATATCACTTAGCCAACAAATGTGTTTAACTAAAATTATAACTGAACTCATCATTATCATTTGTGGAACTAAAATCGTCTTAGATGAAAAGGCAAGGAAACGGGAAAGGGAAGGAAAAAATAATATTGGTATAATAATGATTTAATATTATTAAATAGATTTAAAATTAAACAGCAAAAAAAAGGAAGCGAATAGAAAGCTTCACATAAATTAAGAATAAATTAAACAAAACCAATGCTGACGTAAAGTCTCGCCTTAAGAAACCTCTTACTTGTCTGCGTACAAAAAAAAGACGAATACAAGCTGACTTCGCCAATATACGCGTTACCGGCTAATTCATCACATAGTCCGTACTATGACGTGAAATCTGGAATTTTTCCTGTAAGAAATTTGATCAAATAAAAAACGTTGAATAACCGCAGTATCACGTTAAATACCCGCAAGTTGAATAGCTTGCACCGAAAGTTGGTGGATGAAAACTATATCAGTAACAACCTTAGGACAACGAAGCGAGCTTAAGTCCAAAAACTGAAACTCTCAAAAGAGGACAATCTTAACGGATCTGACCAATCCATAATAAGAAGAGCAAAACGAAGGAAACGCAACCGCACTGCCTCAATACGATCTCAATCAACATTACGAAGTGACAATGACAAAATCTAGAAGATAATTTGCCCTGTTAACCATCAAATTGTGATGGATTTTAAAATCGTGACTTCAATCCAATTCAAACCATTCCTATTACACTACAAGAAAACCTATCAAAATTATTTTGCAGAGCAACACAATCAGCCACAGAACGAATCCGCCAACAAATTTTCGTGTCGTCAGCAAGGAGCCACACGAAGAAGAATCATGGCAGCCCCAGAAACAGCCAAAAGAGTATCTAAACGAACAGAACTAAAGAGTAGCTGGTAAGGTCTTCCAGACAAGTAAGTGGAGACCTACGATAAACTACAAAATAATAAAGGAAACCCCATTCGGACCTGAAAAATCATCACCAAAAAGATATTAAATGTGAGGTCTGATCGAGAAAACAAAAACGACGTTATAACCATCAGGCTCACGCTTCCTATTAGCAAATTCAAAAAATTCCAGAAAGAGCTCTAATCGATCAAGGACACCAACAAAGGCCAAGCAATCCACACGAGATAATGAGAACGTGTAAGTCTTCCGAGCCGCATTCCCCACATTTCTTAGAGCTCGCAATTTAATTTCAATTTCAACCTTTTTAGGTTGAATACGCCGTGTTTGGCTATTTGGGTCAAAGGGGCAATACTGGTCCCCCCAATGTATTGGTTTATTCCTCTTTTATTTATTTACTATCACAGTGTATACAGAAAAATAGAATAAAAATCAGAAAGCTAATGTGAGCAGGATGAAAAACTCAGAGAAAGAGCACCGTAAAAAATATCAATTAGCAAAGAAAACACATCCCTACCGGATATCAGGCAGATAAATACTGATAGACTTAAAACACAGATAAATTTAGCATCAACTTCAGAAATTTCGTCTATTGCTGACTCCCTAACATAAAATTTTTAACGTAAAAAACTTTTCATACTCCCGACCGCGGTTGCTCTTTAGTTCGAACTACACAATTTTGTTGTATAATGGTGATTGTAGTGTTTATATATGAAGTCATACGGAATTATATATTTCTTTTTTTTGTTATTATTTCATCAAAAAATATTTGCTACTACTACAAAATTCATTCTTATTCTTATTACTATTTTTTTTTTAAGGTCGAGCAGTTAATAGATAAGCCAGTTTCATGGATAAGAGTACGCGATGGTCATATTTTAACGGTTGATCATACACAATTTATTGCTGATGAGCGATTTCAACCAATTTATCAAGAACAACATCAAAGATGGTCTTTACAAATAAAATACAGCCAAAAACATGATATGGGTTTATACGAATGTCAAGTTGCAACTGAACCAAAACGTAGTTCCAGAGTTTTTCTTAATGTTGTTGGTAAGTTTTGTATATTTACATAGATTTTGAGAATAGAATTTTATAGTTTTTACGAACTCACCCGCGTTTCCTATATCTTTTAAATAGGTATTATAAAATTCAATTGAATTAAAAGTGAAGGTTTCAGTCATACAACTACTCCGGATTAGTGTTCTAATTTAAAAGCATCTGATATTTAAACAGAATATTATTTGAAAGAAAGCGTAAAATGACTATAACAAAGACAGTTATAAAGCCAGACATAAGAAATATGCTTTATATCCAAAACTATATTTCATTAATTTTCCATTAAAAATCCTTGTGAAAATTGTATATGTACTTCTGAAAACGCACTTTTTGTTCGATAATTAATATGTTCATCATAGATCTATACATACCATATATATACATACAGAATCTTATTAAATTATTTTTGTAATGTAATGAAAAGTAAAATGACAAAAATATAAAAATGAATTTCTCCATGAGGTTAAACTCATAATTATTCAATAAATAATAATTAATCGTTGTTTCTGCAAGGAAATTTTTAATAATTTTTACTGCTACTACTACTATTTTTATTAATTTTTTTTAAAAACTCATTACATCCATTTATGGTGAGTTAAGTTATTATTAAACATAATTAAATCCACATGATATCCATATACATCCACGAGATTATTAATTGGAATACGTCGAACGAAAATCATTATTATTTTTATGTAATATAAAAAAAAAAACGTGTGATAATTTCATATTATCTACTTGCAAATATCTATAATAAACCTTTAAATATTTGAACATTTATTGATTATCGATGAATATTTTTTTTTAAAGGTTTTCAAAATTGAAAGTCATCAAAATTGAGCAAACTCACAACGTGTTCGAGCTTATGAAACACGCTGGATCTCGAGATAGTGCTGTAGGGTCATACTCCATACTCAAAGGGGGAAAATTCGACTGTGGTGCTTTGTTACTTCTGTTATTTACAAATCTGTAATTTAGAATTCTAACAGAATCCCATTGAAGTTCAAAGTCTAATTTGTAGAACTACACTTTTTTAAAAATTGAAATGACTCAAATATGTGAGTCATTTCAATTTTTAAAAAATTCCATTTTGTTTGTCATTCAGGGAAACATGCTCATCTTTTACGTAAGGCATCGTGAAGGAAAGTAACTGTCACAAAATGACCATTCAAATTAACCATTACTTTGAATACTTTTTTTCTCTCTCAAATTTTGAGAGCTTTGATAAAGTTGTTGCAGTACTAATAAAAACCTTTTTACATTAAGAAACTATTCATTTTCTTGGATTTATTTTTATTCCACTTTTCTCATTTCCCGGGTTAGAGCACCACGAATAAAATCCCAAAAAGGAAGACTTGAAATGTATTTTGGGATTTACAAAAAAATCGAATCTAGGTATGTATTTTAATATATTTAAGACAGGTTACTAAAGCTACTTTGATTTACAATTTTTTGTATATAAACAGTTATGAAGAGCTTAAAACAATAATTTTTCAAAAATAATAAACCGACAAAAGAAAAATTTATTTTAAACGATAAGTACAATATGTATGAGTATGTAAAAACATCGAACTAATATTAGCTAAGAGGGTAAAAATTCTACTTCTACTGAGTATTTTGATTGAATTGTATTTTTTAATTTAAGTCGACAATTTCTCAAACTATTTCTTTAAAACAGAAAGGCACGAAGAGTTTTGCCTAAATGCTTTTTTTCTCAGTATATTAGTATTTGAATTGGGCGTACAGAGGTTGCAATGGCATTTTCTTTCTTTACAAAATTTTTACCATTATGAAAATTGTTTTAATTAACGCCTGAATAAAAAAGGATGGATATATAAAAACAACAATTAGTGATTATATCTCTATCCTTTAAAATGTTTCAATATTCAAGAATTACAAAATTTAATATACCTACATCATCAAATTTGTTTTCAATGTGACATTTTAATAAATCCATACATTAATGACTTTGTGTGTCTATTCATTTTTTTTCAGTTCCTAAAACAGAATTAATTGGTGATCATAATCGTTTTGTTAAAGCTGGAAGCAAAGTAGCATTACATTGTATTGTGCGTGGTTCAATCGAGCCACCTTCATACATAATATGGTTTAAGGGTAATCAACAAATCATCCAGGGCAATAAACAAGGATGGTATATGCAAATTGATAGAGAAATTTTTGGTAACAGCAGTGACCAGCAAAATACTGTAAGTTAAAATACATAAGATTTTTATAGAATAAATATACATATACAGCACTGAATATTATACAAACATAAGATGTATGGTTACGGATATACATACATACATAAAATAAACTTGAATAAATTAAACGCTAAAATAATTCCGCATAATTTTCAATATTTTTACTTCAATGTAGCTATACCTGCATAATATGTATGTATATACTTATATGTAATGTATATTTTACTTATAAAATTTTTTGTTGTCATACTTTTATGTTGTTCACATTTATATACATATTTAATAAGGGTTTCTTTTTTGTTTTTTTTTTGTTTTTTATACTTAGATTGGCTCACTAATAATACCATCTGTGACAAAAAGAGATTCTGGTAACTATACTTGTAGCCCCTCGAACAGCGCACCTGTATCTGTAGATTTACATGTTTTGAATGGTAAGAAAATAATTTTTAGATATATGTATATAACCACCCCCATAATATTTAGAATATATAAATTGGTTTGTATATCACTAACTACATGACTACATGTACAAATAAATAACAAATATATATGTATGTATAATGTATATAATATAAAATTTGTGTAAAAATTACAAGACCTAAAATAAAACAAAAGACTAATAACAAATGTTAACAACTTTGCAGATATTTCTAGAATTTTTGATTTTTGTTATATTTTTACTAATCTGTGTATGTACCTACATATAGTACGTGGTAAATAATAATTCAACAAAAAATAGATATAAGTATGTAATATATTATATGTGATGGTGGTAGTCAAATTTGTGATTTTATTACATATTTTTCAATGTGCTTTTTTTTTAGATTCTCCAACTTTATGTTCATAAAAATTTTTTTATTCATTCTTAAAAAATGTACTATAATGTATGAGATTTGATTGTTGAATTATGACCATACCAAATATAAAGTTTACTTTACAAAGTTCCAAACATTGTTCCAGAAGTGGTCGCAGAAGAGGCACAAAACTACAATTTATTAATATTATTTTAAATAATAAATTTAGTTTCAACAGCATTTGAATATAAAAATTCTTCTTAAATTAAAAATACTGTTTGATTTTATAGTTTCACTTTCAATTAAATTTTAAATTATGCAAATATTTAAGTCTTCTGTAATGCATGCGGTTTAGAAATTAATACTTTGCGTCGATCTTTCTCTGATGAAAATCCTTCATCAAACAAAATCAATGGAACGTTTACAAATCACACTTTTATCAAGTTTTGATTAAATCCAATAAAATTGGTTGATATTTGAAATTCTCACTAAAAGCACTATTGTTACTTTGCAACTGCAGTATTATACTTTGACATTAAAAGATGTGTGTACATAAACTTACAAACACACATTAATTTCTCGTCGTTTAACCGCATCTCACAATTGCTTTGATTAAGTATAAATTTAATTTTTGTTATTGCTATCCTTATTGCAAAATCAAGCTTCAGTTATAAAATAATAAATAAAAAAATATGTTATTTTTTTGCTGTGGTTTTTATGTTATTATTCTGATGATGTGACTGTTCCAATTCTTTAAAAAAAAAAATAAAATAAAATAATTTTTTTTGTTTGGTTTTAAATTGACGCCATTTTCTGTCTACTTTTGACATAATCGGTGTCATTGAGTTAAAGTAACATATTTAAAAAAAAACAAAAAAATTAAAAAAAGAAATGAAAAAATTGTTTTTATAGTGTTTCATCTCGATATTATTTCCTTTTTTTTAAGTACATACATTGATACATAGTAGAAATGATTAATGAGATTAATGTACCAAATACTGAAGAGCAACGAAGCTACAAAGGTGCACATTAGTTGTACTTATATAGATTAAAAAAATTGATGAGAAATTTCATATAATCATAGGTACTTGTGTATTTTTTTATTTACACGTGTATGTATTTATTACGAGCATATATTAATGTATTGTTTTATATGAGAAACCAAAATTAAAATGTAACGTTGTGCCATCTAGTGTTTCACTAGAAATTTTATACAATATTACATACGCACATATATAAAATATGTGAATTAATTTCGATTATTAATGCGGAAATTAATAATCGAAAAAATTGAATAAAATTATAGAAGGTTTGAAAAAAAAAATTTTAACAATGTCTGAACGAATAAAAACAAATTTTTAAGTAAAGTACAAAATAAATTATTTTTTCTTTGGATAGGTGTGAACTTTTATAAATTTTTATCAAAAAAAATAAAATTATCTTTTTATAAACAAATCATAAAAATCACATTTTAAAACCAAGAAAAGTCATTAATTGCCACATCCAAAAAAACATATACCAAGTCCTTTTTTATGTTGTTTCTCATAAAGAAAAGGCACCAGATGAAAGCGACCTTTTTCTTTACAAGTTCCAACGTCTTTAATTTATACGAAATTTTTCTAAAACACGTGTATATATGTATATTTGATAATTTTATTATGCAAATATTCTTAAAACTCGTTCTGTTTATTAAGTTAAAAAATTTGTATAAAATTGTTGTTGAAATTTTTATAATAAACTCACTTTTATTATTACTTTTTTTTGTTTCTTGTTTTTTTTTTACTTTTTGATCTTTATTCCATTTGAATACCTATTACATAATAAAAATGAAAATTGTATCCTTTGTTCAAAATATATTTTTACTTTTAATAATTTTTAATATTATATAAAAAAAAAAATTATTTAATTTATTATCATTCTACTTTTTTACTGATTTGTTTTTTCTTATACTTTCCATTTTCCCTTTACAAACTTGTATTTTACAGGTGAATATTCAGCTTCTGCCATAATGTCCGCAGGTGTCATAAATCGTCAACATTTCGCAACTTTATTCCTGGCGGTCGTGTTAACAATATTTAGGTTATCGTGATAAGATTTTATCATATAAAAAAATTGTTTTTTGTTTTTTTTTTTTGTATTCTGTTTTTAGGTAGATATAAAATGTAAATACAATAATTAAATTGAATTATATAAAAAAAAGCAGCAAAAAAAATTAGAAAAGAAACAAACCTCTTACTCAAATAATAAAAAATTAAAAGTTAAAAAAAGATAAAAGTAAAGAAGAAAAATCAAATTAGAATTTAAAGTAGAAAATAATGGGGCATTATCAATCATCATCATCATCAACATCATCAAAATCAAAAGAATATATTTAGTAGACGTATAATAATAATTATTATAATTTCGATGTTTCTGTATTTATACTTAAAATTAATTTAAAATACAAAATTTAATAAATAAATAATGTTATACAATTAAATAAAATAAAAAAGAAATAATCAAAAATAAATTAAAAACAAAAAAATGAAAATGGTGAAGATAAAAGAAAAAATTTATAAATATAAAAATAAATTTAAGTATACACAGGGTGAATTAAAAAAACACTTTGATATATATATATGTAAATTCATGTATGTTGTATATGAAATGCATAAAGTTCAATAACGTATAACTAAAATTTTGAAGAATCGGTACAATAGGAATTATTTATTTATTATAATTGAATATCAAAAATATTATTAAAAATATTTTCATAATATAAGATTGCGAACAATAGTTTCAATGCGCAAATTGTTGCAGAATATTTCTTTCAATATAATTCACGTATATATTTACTAATCATTCAATGGAATACTGAGATACGCTCTGTAAATGTAAAACTATTCTACAACAAGTTAATTTCCACAAGATACTTTTTTAGAGTTGAATGACCTTTACATGCATTTACTTTACATTTGGTATTTTTTTGCAAAATTTTTTCCTCTTGAATTTTTTTTTTGATTAAGTCGCGTTATTCTATTAAGCGTTGAAACACTGAAAAAATTAAAATTATCGAATGTTTTATTAAGTTGATTTTCTTTTTTGAAAATTGTTTTTAAAAGTTTCAAAAAATATAAAAAAAAATTAAAGCAAAAATTTAATACCTATACCTAATTTGTTCACAAGCGTATTTCTCTCCACAGATTTCCTTTATCCCGGCAGTATTTTTCTAAAGCAATGTTTTGCTGTCATTGTACGCTAACTGAAATATCTAATAAATAATAATTATTGCATATGCGCATTTTATTGTATGTAAATACTTACTGTTATTATTTAAAATCAAAACAGAAAAAAGTAACAAAGTAAAATTAAAAAATGCACATTTTACAATATTTCCAATTAAAAATAATTTTTCAAATAGAAAGCGATATTTATGTATGTATGTTTTTTACACAAACTATGATTTTATTTATTTATATTATAATATTATACCTATATACCTACATGAATATAATTATATTCTTTTTTTTCAAATCTACAATAATTTATACTACATTCTTATACGCAAAATAACTGTAATGCATATACATTTATTATATACATATATATATATATACATATAGTCAGAATTTGTAAATTAAATACTTCAAAATTAAAATTTATAATTGCAATCATGTAAAATAAATAATAAAATTGAAAAAAAAAATTTAAAATTTTAATTGAACTTTAGAATAAAATAAATAAAGTTTATTAAAATAAAAATAAAAGATTTATTTCATATACATTAAATTGTTAAAGTTACTTATAAAAATAGAATTTACTTGTGCTAAAAAGAAAAAAAAAATAACAAATTATAAAAATTGTTCATGTTCGTATTTATAAAATAAAAAATAATGCATAAAATAATACTTATGTAAAATAACTACCTATAGTATTTCACAAAAATATTTTCAAAATAAACAAAACATAATAACATACATATATGAATATAATAATGAAATACATAATTATAAATAAACATAGAAATAAATTACATACATAATATTATATACAAATACGTATAAGAATATTTAAATAAAAAAAAAATCATTCAAAATTTAATATGTTTAAAATAAAATAAAAAAAAAATTGTGCCTTATAATATTTAGGAAGAATTTTGTAAATAGGATATAATAACATAAAATAAATTATTAAATTAAAATAAAATTAATTTAAAAATATAAAAAAGAGAAGAGTATTGTTGTAATTTAAAATAATATTTGTTATAGTAAAATGGTAATGTGTACAGATTAAATCTCTTATTGAATCGTAAAATTTCCCTTAAATTTATAATGAATTTGAAAAATTTTTGATATTCAAATAATTTTAGAATAAATTCTTATGTGAAGTATATATGGAGCTTTATTAGCCCTAACTATATTTTTTTTCAATAATAGGACATTTGTTGAGGATTGAGAAAAGCAAAAATTTTCTTGTTTGCTGAAAAAAATTTTTTTTTTTGAATAAATAAATATTAACAATAGAACCTCAATGAATTCCATATGAAGAATAATATATCAAATTAAAGATTCTCAATTTTTTTCTACACATTAAGAGCAATAATTTACACAGATTAAAGTTATCCGAATATATAGAATAACCTCTATAACATGATTTTTTGTAAGACGGAAAATTTTTTTAACACACACTGATCTTTTGCATTTTGTTAACCATCTCAATAAACCGAAATTTTCATTGATTTAGATGTATAGATCAGATATCTTCTGCGTTTAGATTCTGAATGTGGAACTGTTTTCTGCTATAAGCCCAGGACGTGAAGTGCGATTTTATTAAATAGCTAATGTTTAGTTCTTTCGATAGACGTTGATCTTTTATAAAATGGAAACTTATTCTCTGATTATAGTTTTTGGTAAAGTATACAAAATAGGTACGATCTTTTTTGTATGCACTGTGGTCTGGGAAATTTGTTTTCCATATTTATGATTCATGAACATTCAATTAAAATTTTTTATACATACATTTATATTAAACACAAAAAAATAGAATGTTTTTGTCCTTTGATAATTATTACATTCTTCTTTTATTATTTATTTTTTTACATAAATCAATTATAAAAAAATTTAAGTAAAAAACAAAAATTTCTAGTGAAAATATTTGTATAAATTATAATTAATTTAAATTCAAAAAGGAATTCGGTTCAAATTTTATATGTGAATAAATTCATGGAGGTCAGTATTAAGATTTTAGACGGTATGTTAATTTTTTCGATTAATATTTCATATAATATATTTTATATGTACTTTTCATATTACAAATATTTTTATTCCACTGCGATGGAGACCTTCAAAGAAGCTTTAAGTACTTGGTTTATTAATAAGAAAATAATTTTATATATTTATAATCAATAAAAAGTTTGCTTGAATCAAAATATTTGTTTGAGTTTTTGTGCAATAAAAAACTCATTAAAAATTATTAGCAAAAAAATAATGAACGAAGATAAGTTTTTATTCCTCAAGTTGTACATGATAGAGAGCATGTTTGTAGATCATTTCTCATAATGAAAATTTTAATACATAATATTATTAAGTATTTCTGTTTACTCCTGCGTAAGGATTAAAAGTTGTACATTAAAAATGATATTTCAACCAATTTAATTGCAGAATTTTATGAATTTTGTATTTGCAACATTTTATAAATTGTTTTTCGCACCGTCCCTAGATGTATGCAATTCAACACCTTTTTTAATTGACCTACAAAATGTTTATACTATGTAAATATATAAGAACCTGGTACGAGTGAATATGCAAGCACATAATGTTTTTATGATAATTAATTTTTTCTTTATTTCTGTTGCATTTTAAGTAATTTTTCAGAAACTATCGAACTGACTCCATCAGTTTCATGAATAACTTTGTTTTAAAAATCATTTTATTAAATATATTTAACGATTAATCTTTTTATTCATCTGAAATTTCTTTTGAATTTCGGGAAAAATTTTTTTCTATACACTTTTACTATGACCAAATAAAAAAAGATAAAATCAAAGGAGGACTTAAAAGTTGGGTATTTTAACCACAATACTTTGAAAAGAATTTCGAAAAAAAAATATAGAATATTTTAAAGCTTAACCTTTTGCAGACCGATAAAAATTCTCCTTTTCAGAAAAAATTTTATTTGTTATATTTCTTTTATAAAAGGATGAACATGACTTTATAAAGGCTCATAAAATTGGGTAACAAAAATTTCATTCTATAGCTTGATAATAACTTGCTATTTCATACAAATCGAAAAAATTTCGAAAAAAATTCTAGTACTCAAGAAAAAACATTGATGCACATAAGAAAATTGTAAGAATTTTGGAAATTCACTATTTTTAACTAATTATATAATCGATTATAGATTATTTTTTGGGATCTATAAAATCTTCTAGAATTTTAAATAACTTTTTAAGTGTCAAACGAAAGATTTTATCAGTAATGTTAATGAATTCGTTAATGAAAGTTGAATAACTCATATGTTTCTAAAAGCCGAATAATTTGATGGCGAAATAAAAAAAACTTTATTAAATTATCAAGAAATTGGAACAGAAAAACTATTTGCATTTTATTTATTCAAGTTTTTATAAGTATAGTTTGTTTTTGTATAAAAGTTTCTACTTTTGCTCTTGACGTTTAATGATATAATAAACAAACGATAACATATAGGAACGTATGTATATGCATAACACAGCTACAACATTACTATTATAAAAATCTTGAATAATACTTATTGTTCTCAACCAAATTAATTTGATTAGCATTACAATGTTTTGTTGAAGAGAAATTTTAATATATGATGAATATTCTGTTAAAGAATGGATGATGGAAGGAAACAAAAAGGTTCTCCTGGAAATATACAACAAGAAAAAAAAAAACAAAATTTTTTTTCCCTTAAAAGGATAAGGAAAAAAATCAAATATTTTTCTTGTTTAAATTTTTGTTTTTTTTTTCTATCGTTATTGTTTTTGTAATTTTTCTCTCTTATTTAATTATAAATTAGGGCTAAAAGTCATTAAGTCAATGAAAATATAATATATAACATGTATTTATGTATATATAACATGTATTTAAAAATTTACTTGTGTGTCTCATTTATATTTTATAGAGAAAATATTTATGTGTATTGAATAAAATCTGTACATTACATAGGTACCAACATATTATTATAATGTATATATAAGTAAGTGTATATTGAAAAAGATAAGGAGTAGAAGGCAAGAATTTAATAATGAATTTAATTACTTGAATGAAATTTTATTAAAAGACTTTTATAACA